GAATATGGGTGGAATGGGCTCAATTTTTGATCCCATGCCCATCGTTTCTATGCCAATGCAAATATCTCAAATACCAATCAAGAAAGAAGAAAAATCGATATCAGTTCCTCAGTCACAAATACCACAAAAATCTATGGATGGTATGTATTATAATTATTTTAGGTTTAAAGCATGCATTACAAAGCATATCTATGTTACACCGCAGCAAGTTTCGATCTTTATGTTTAAATTTAATTCATTATACTTGTATTCATTCGATCGCTTTTATTTTTTAATTATTTCTCACATTTTCTATTTGATACTAAAATAGTGTGTATGTGCGTGCGTGCGCGCGTGCGTGTATTTAGTAATACAAAATATTTCTACTTTCTTATATTTTAAATAATGCTTTTTCATTTTTCTTCTTGCATGGCGAACCTAGTATTTTCTGGTGTTGTAAAGTAAATGCATCAGATTTGTTGAAAATTTGTTTAATCCCCGCTGTCTTTCTTTAATGTATACTGTTCACATTCTAGACTGCTATATTAATTGCTTACTAATCGAATATATAATACTATTGCTCTAGCCGGAGCTCTTTTTGCAGAAATGAGTACAGGAATGCCACCAATGGGAAATCATTCGAGTTCGCAGCTCATGCCTGAGAAAAAGATGACACCGCCTGATTCGAAAAATCCTGTGTCGAATTTTGCTTCAGCTTTTAAAAACAAGGTAGAGTAACAATCGTTCAATTACGTATTTTTCTTTCTTTCCTATATTATCTCCGTATCTAATTTTCTTTCTCCGTTAATCTTACGCAGACTGTAGAACAAAATGTGAAAAATGCTTCATCATGGTCATCTTTAGCACAAGCATCGAGTCCCCAATCTGCGGCAGGAAGTAGTATGAAAAGCGCTGCACAGGATTCATTCCAAGCATTCAAAAAGCAAGCAAAGGAAAAACAAGATAGGGTTAGTATGAATGATATTTATTTTGTGAATAATACAATAATTTTATTTGAACATAATGTATATGTGGTTACTTAATACAATATTTTCTTATTTCTTCCGTTTTATCTAGATAAGATACATACATGTTGCAATGAATACTAATTTTGTTTTATAGCAAAGAGCTCTGTTGGAACAACAAGAAATGCGCAGACAACAGAAAGAACAAGCAGAACGAGAGCGCTTACGGCAAGAGAGCGAAAGAAGAAGAGAACGAGAAGAAGAAGATGCATTAGACAAGGTCAGGAAAACTGTTGGTGATCAACAAGGAAACGTCATGACTGCTACATCAAGGGCAGAAGAGGTCAAAGCTATTGTCGATACTGATAGTAGTAGTCCAAGCCATTCATCCAGTCAAGACAAGGCTGCAGCTGAAAGAGAACGTCAAAGATTACGAGAACAAGAACGACGACGGCGCGAAGCGGTAAGATGATTCACTGTAATTTTTTATCTGCGCGGATATTTCATATCTCGTGAGAGAATCACCTTTAAAGTTTTACCTATTATAAATATATAAGAAGATTCAAACGTACAGCACTAGTAGACAGAAACAATATCATTAAAATCAAGGTAGAAAATATTTAACATGTTGACGCCAGCGAGTACGACCGGTGGCTCACGCTCGAGTCTGCCATCAGGCGGCGTGCATCGCCGGTGGCTCATACTCGAATGTTCCATCAGACGGTGCGTACCACCAAAAATGTAGTTCTTCGTTTCGTAACTAGAGAAAATTGCCGTATAGTTGAAAATTTAAATAATAGAAATTAAAATGTAATTAATAATAATATGCGGTCGTAGCAGCAACGCTGGCGTGAACGTGTGAAAGATAACAGAAGCGTTGAACGGTTTTATAGAAAGAATTAGTCGTTAGTCGATTTTCTTTCGTTTACGATTGTTGTGGACGAGTTTGCCAAGAATGGGTATATTTATTATTTCAGATGGCTGGACAGATCGATATGAATATGCAAAGTGACTTGATGGCTGCGTTTGAGGAATCGTTATAATGTTATTTGCCGCTCATTGTAAATCCATTGAAACCGGGCAGGACTTGGATGAATGTGTGGCGCTGGACGATACAGAAGAAACGTATTAATATATACGTCAGTCAATAACAAATAATAATAATAATAAAAAATAAAGAAATAATAATGAAATAACAACAAACTGAATAAAAGATCGGTGTAACGGTAAAAAAATACAATGGTGGTGCGAGTTGGGACATTCCAACGGAAAATCCTGATTTCATTGTTCGAGTGAATCAGAAGAGACAGTTTATCAAATGATGGAAAACTTGTGTGTAATCGACGGACACCTAAGTGTGACCTACTGTAATTAGATAAATACTTACACAATACTTTGAAAATGCTACACTGACTATTGTGTTACATTTTTCCGGGTTTCATAAGTTTGTACTTTATGTAAATTTGGAAACAAAACAAAAAAATATTATACAGAAGATGATAAGTGAATGAAAGAAAGCGTATGTGAGAGAGGGAGAGAAAGAGAGAGTATATATTACGTGCGATCAACGAATGGATGAGTATGAGAGCATGGGGGGAGAGTAAAAGTTGTGTGTATATTTAGTTAAGTTTTATATTTTTCCACATTCAGTCATTAATCGTTGGTAGGATTACATAGACAGTGTTTCTGCCAATAATACATATAATTATTAGCAATTACTAATAATTTCATTGCATATTTCTTTCTGGATTATGAATATATACTATTTGTAATCACGAAATAGATAGGCTTGTTAAGTCAATACTATAGAAAAAAATATACCTAATATGCGGAGATACACATTGATGAATTTAATCGTATTAATCATTACGATAGCCCGATCTATATCGATTTCAATTGACTTGGAAATCAGAGAGGGCCGATCGATTGATTTGGAGAAAAAAGAGAGACGAGGAAAGAAATATTTGTAAACTCACCTTAGAAAAAAATCGTCAATTATTACGAATAATGGTAAGGTGATTATAGAATGATGTAGTATCAATCCTACCAACCTTTAGATCAGATTCCACACATGTACCTAATCCTTGGTATACTCTAGGATCACAGAAACAGAAAGTGTAACACGGTACCGACTCGTAAATGAAATATTATCTAGAAAAGAATTACGGGTTTTTTCTTTTTTTTTCTTTTTTTTCGACAAAAATGAACTGTTTGTGTGAAAGAATTTATTAGAAAGAGGGTAAGAAGTAAATTATTAAGATGCAAAGGGTATTTTTTTCAAGGGGTCATGATTAAAATTTTACAAAAAGAACTCGGCCTTTTGTATGTTGTACGTGATCTGTCAGTAATAATGCGTGTCCCGAGTAGAAACATTCAATCGGCAAAAAAAGTACAAAAAACGATATCTAATTTGAAAAACCGATTACTGATTGAAGTTCGAATTTATTGCGTGCTGCTATTATTCTACTACTATTACAAACGGATTCATTTTTAAAGAAGTATTTGAATTTGTAGAAGTTACGATAATAATGGCGATAGTAGATAGTAGTAATAGACATTACGTAATAACAATAGTTATTATGTAAGTTATATCATTATTATTATTATTATCATCATTAATATTAATTATTATTATTAATAATATTATTAATATTATCATTAAATTATTTCATTAAAAGGAATTTTATTTTTTTAAGAGCCTTTTCAAACCTGCAATGTCTTTCTCTTTATTGTAGCGTGACAAATGAGTTTTTATTTGGAGTTAAAGAAACGCTAAGTTCGCATAAGCTGTTTGTGGTAAAACATGTTCGATTTTATTTTTATCTTAATCCGGAAGAGTTTATTGTTCACAAATACATGTTACTTTTTACGTGATACTAGAACAAATATTTTGCAACTGCAAACAATGCGAAGATCTTTTATGATATTCAGAGAAGGACGTATACGCAATTTGGTAGATACTTCGATACACGATGGTTACAACATTATCAGAATGAGCTCGTTTTGCTCTCAAGTAATCGTTGTTTTCGCTTTATATCAAGGCGTACACGATATTGATGGTAGATCACCGATACGTAGCGTTTAATTTTATTTATTCTGCGTTTCTTTTAACACGATTTATCATGGTATCGTACAATTCAGCTTTTGAAAAACCTGATGAAGTCTAGAAGGTGTCGTTAAAAAGGAAGTGTCATTTTAAAAATCGGCCGTGCCATTTTGAAGACAAATTTTTAAAGAAAACTTTCTCGAAAGGCACGACCGATCAGACAAAAAGAGTTGACTAGCGTTTAAATTTCTATGTACCTCGCCGAAAGATGACCGTAGCTAGCGACATTAAAGCGTATACAAATAATTTATTATTACACACGCCTCTAGACCTGATTCTGTCTGATCGCATGAAATTTATTTCGTATAGTCTTTCGGGTTTCTTTCGGGTTTTTTCTAAACGATCGCAACTGGACTTGATGTGCAAGTACGTGTCCAGATGACGAACAGGAAAGCGTAGGAGGCGTATCAATGCTAAAGATCACGAAAGATACACGATCATTAGTATTCACATTTGTAAAGTAACGTTGATTGTATGTGTGCGTGTGTATGATTTGTTTAGTTACGTATAAATTACGACCAGCCAAGAGAAACGTAAATTCTAAGTGCAAGCGCATCGATGCACCGACTGGAAAAACGTAATGATTGAACCATAATGTCGTAAGTAATCGTTCGAAGTATTCGTCGGGTATAACGATGTGGTTGTTTCTGGTCGATTGAAATATCGCGCGAGGAAACAGGATCGCAGGTAAACGGTTCGAAAGATGATTGACGCAATAAAACGGAGAGGAAAAATTTCTGATCATATTCGCACCGATATTTGTAATCCTGTTTTCGTTGCTAAGTACATCGGAGATGGACGAGAAACATGTTTATTGCGATATAATAAGTATCCATCTATGGAATGGCTCTTTATTCTCATGTGTTGTGTGCGCTTTCATATCAATACGATCACACGTTCGTTGATCGTCAGTACTAATTCTAGCAATACTAAGTAGACTATCTTACATCTTTTTTTTATTTTACATGCCGGAATTGTTTCCGGATGTTTGTCAATCAAAATTCAAGATTTACGATGAAATCTTGCCTCTCGACCTCTAGCAATCTATTTACAGCGATACTGACGTTCGCGTCTTAGCATGTATAATGATTTAGTCATCCATATGTTAATTGTTGTTGTATGCACTTAACGCGATAGGGCAATTTCTCGCGAGGATGTCAGTAATTGCTAAATAAGCGAAAGCGAGAAATGATCGATCGTGTTTTCTGTTCTTGTAAATTAGAGTGTTCTTTCGGTATAAAATGATGTTTCCAGGAGATAATGGAATTGTCCTAGATATAAATCGAATGAAGTTTAAACGTAAGCGTAATAAATATGCCGTTTTCGTTCATTAACGTTTATCATTATCGGTATTCGAGCAAGATTTTTCGGGAATGTGTGTATTGGCGTGTATTGGCAAATATAATTGTAAATTCAATATATTTGATATCCGAGTATGATCGTGGTACGCTATAATGCGATGTAATATACGACATAAGATGTTAGCAGATATGAAAAAAGAAAACATCGAGATGTCATGAAATATCATATAACCAGAAACATGATTTTTCATGGAAGAGAAAGTCGTTTGCAATAGTTTAAATATTTTCGTGTACAGTTAGTATATGTTTATCTTCCAGTCAACGCTTTTAACGATATTTTGTATATGTTATTTTTCTATTTGTTTAATCTTTCGTGTCCTGGGTGTAGTTGATAACGCAAAACCGTATCGCTCAGAAATGATGAATTCTTCGCTAAACGACGAAGCAATGAAAGCTATGATTTTTATTGTTTTTGCTCGATTATTGTCTATATTGTACCATTAGACTGACCAATTGCAAGTGTCTTCGAATGTTTGGAAGAATTCCTCTGATTATGAAATTGCGTCGCGTTAAAGTAACGAGCTCAATAGTGACACGAATTCTAAAACAAAAAAAAAAAAAGATATTAAGAAGAAAGAATTAAAAAGAATAAAGAATTAAGAGCGTGAGTTTGGCAAAGAGAAAGCGAGAAGCAGCGTAAGAGAAAAGATGGGCATAGGAATGAAAGTGAGAATGGAAGAGAGCAAGGAGGAATGTATGTGCTAGGCATTATGATTGTATAATACATAGTTTATAACTGTACATATGAGGAGAAATCATTGGCAGCAATTTAAATAGAATCTATGTATAAAAAGTAATAAGTACTAATATACACACCTCTATATATGTGATAAGGTTTGTAATATTTAAGGGAGGCCGATAGATTGTATTAACCTACTAGAGATCTCAGTATAAGTTACTAGGTAAAGACGTAATAATTCGTAAGTAACACCAAAATCACTCCGCTGTATCAAAAATATCAAAAAATAATTTTTTATATAAGTTCCCACGGGCGCACATCATCTCCAATAGCACACAAGTTTTAGTAGACTTATTACTGATAGCGAGATATTAAGCTGGTTGTACATAAATAATAATGATGAAATGAAGAATAAATGGCTAAAATAAAGAAATGCTTGATGTTGTTAAGTAAGAGGGATCACTTACTAGGTCAAGTTTGTTTACATACTTGCTTCTACTCAACCATTTTTATTCAAAAAGAACCTTATAACTTTCTCCTATATCTGCGTCATTCACGTTAATTTCAAAAGGCAAATAAAAGTAAAATAGCAACTTTATATTGATCTGTCGCATATAATACGCACTTGTGTATAAACCGTTTGCTTAATACGTTATATATATATATATAAGTTAAGATACCGTTAAACCGTATATTGCAATTTGAAATTGTCGATGCTTTGTACAGGAAGAATTCTTGATTAAGTTTTGAATCTTTTATTTTGTAGATAACAAACTTGGTAATATAACATCAAGTAATGAATTAAATTGCTGTTTCGTTTAAATCTCTATTTGCTTAACAATATCAAATCAAATAATATCGTCTGTTCTCTTATTAATCCCTAAACATAAGAAGAGAGACTTTTATTACATATTCGAATTAATGTTACGAGGCAAGTGTGTGAATACAAAGTTACTGCAGATTATTAATCATAAGCATATACAGAATTACCTTTCATATATATATATATATATATATATATATATATATATATAATAGATATACCTTATATATATATATATATACATATATATATAAAGATATACATATATAAATACAGAGCGTAAAACAAGCAGAGAGGGTGAGCGAGCGAAACGGACAGAATGAAAGAGTGTTATATAGTCGTCGATAGAAGAGATACTAACTGAAATATTATTGTCTCGTGTTTGACGTTTTCTCTTATGTTGCGAATCTGTTAGAACGAATAAGAAATATTGTATATACTAATTAATACAGATAAAACAATGCATATTACACGTTATTATAATCTTTACAAATATACTAATTACCTACGGTTTAATTATTAATAACTACTTGAAAGTAATTGTTGCGATAGTTTTTCATTATTACCTCATCCTCTTAAAATAACTCATGTATAAACATTACAACGGTATACTTAATTAAACCAGAATAAAAAATGTCTTAAGATTGAAACTTGATGATTGAAAAGTTCATTTCAATACCTAAATGATTGCTAAATGATTTCTCAATAATTGCGTAAAAATTTGTTACACTTAAGCGCTAGATTCTTTTTACGAAATATTACACATTTTAATGTATTTTATATATCATACTTCAAGTCTGAATAATTCTTTTTTGGAGCTACTAAATTTTTTTAATACGTAAGCTTGCGTACGAATGAAATCACGCCTTCAAGTTCGTAATCTCCTCTTCCATTCGTTCGGACTAGACTCTCGCTGTACGAATACTCTTTGCTACGTCGGCTATGCGTACATACTGTAAGATCGAAGAGTAACGAGAGTAATAGGAGTTTGCTTAAAATTTATTTTGCTAATACCAAAGAGCAAATTAGAGCACTCGTTGAGCAGTACTAACCATTTACGAAACCATTATTTTGTATAATCGCCTACAGCGTTCTTTCACATTTATAAACGTAATCAGTCATTTTGTTAGTCAAATAAGTCAAATAAGATTTCATCTGATATAACATAATACAAACATTTCCAACTCTTGATGTGCTTCATATTGACTCTTAGCTTATCGTGATTTCGAAGTTTGCCTGGACTAAAGCATTAGTGATAATGGTATGTATATGTAATGATTCTCAAATATTTACAGATAAATCACATTTTACTTACTTACAAGTTAATAAAACGTTTCTCAACGATATCAATACGTCCTATACCACGTATATCATCGATTTAATTTAAATATTGTATTATTTTGAGCTGGACAAGAAATATCTCGTTATTCTTTAATTTTCTCACGTACGATGGATGATACTCCTGGTCAGAATTAACTTCAATTTCTTCTGGTTCCGTCTAAGAATTTAATGGATCATCGTTCATTTTATATATTTGTTTTGGGGCTAATGTATCAGAATTTTCTAAAATACCCGATTCATAACTAAAAATATACATATATGTATTTAGATTTTAATTTTTTTTCTACACGCTTTAATAAATCAAAATGAAACTACAACGATACAATAATGTCAACTATTTGGAATATCCGATAGATTTGCTTCAAAGCTTCGTGATTCTTTTATATTTGCTTTAATATTTTTTTTATTTACTGAAATAGGTATTTCGTTTTGTTGTGCATACTTTAACAAATCTGATCTTTCTGATAATTTTGTATAAAAGTCTGTAACTAATAAAATGAAAAGATCGTACATAAGACATATAAAGATATATATGAGAGTAACATAAAGTTTAGATACAGTACCTGGATGTCGGGATAGAGATTGTAGTAGCTTTTCCTGTCGCATCATGAACGATTATAAATGCATTTTCAGATTTTGCAATTCTTGTCAGAGCTGTGCTAATGCATGGCCGAGCGATTGTTGTGCCTAAAAGGTGTTTATACCTTCGTAAAGTAGTCCACATGCAATAGCCGGCCACACAAACGAAGACAGGAAAACGTCTCTGAAATCTTCTATTATGACCTTTCAAATAATAAAATTATCTACGATTAAATAGAAAAGTTGGCAAAACAGAAGAGATGGACTTTATATCACTGTAAAGATTAGTTACAACGAGTAGCATTGTATCTACTTGCAGAGATTTCGGCGCATAATTTAGAAGATATATTTGTAAATTAATTAAAATTTTGTTAATACCTTCAAGGCAGCAATTTATTGCAATGCCTTCTTTCTAGCGGTATTGAAATCTTTCTCTTGTCCAATACATACCTGCCTACATTCAAATCCTTATTATAGTATTTACTTCCCAAAGAATCGTTATTTTCAGTATATTTACAATATAAGCGATAACTTGATATCCTTTTTCTTTCAACCACATCGCTATATGCTAGACCGATTCTCTTTGTTGATTTAGGTATTTTTCAAACTTATCAAGATCTCAGGATTCTCAGGATCGAGATTTAAAGGCAATGTGACAAGGTCGATATTTTAATTAAGATGACAGCTGGATTTCATTATATGGACAACTCTGAGTCTTGACCCATGCTGAACGATAACCCATGAACGATTATCGTAGTAATACATACTATACTAAGAGTTAACTTGTTCGTGAATTTCAACTGACAACTTGTTTGTTAAAGTTTTATCTTTAGTTAACGTGGTACGGTATAAGTATAAAAAAAGAAACAAAATTGGATCGAAATGTAGGCCTTTATAAGCAGAACATTTTGTTTAGACTACAATCTACATACACATAGGTATATGTATATATATTATATATATATATATATATATAATTATATAATATATATGTATATATATATTATATAATAATCAGTACCGTAAATTTTGTAGTAATCTCACCGCTAAGTAATCGCAATAATAACGCACATCGATAATCATTATGATGGTTAACAGACTAACTAACTTCCATCAATCGAAAGTGATATACAATTTCTTTGTATATGCAGCAGAAGTTTCAACATGTATATACTTAACGATATAGTAAAACTTTTACTTTACGAATGAAACAGCTAGAAGTCTTTTATAGTTGGACAGTTTTTAAATTGAAATAAATGCACGCTTTAAGATAAACTAATAGCCGCATTTGTACTATGTATAATTTAATACACACATACACACACACATATATATATATATGTATATATGTATATATATATATGTATATATGCCATTGAAATGCACTTGTTTAGCTATAAATCGATAATACAACAAAAGTATAATAAATAACTAAATGTATATCTATCGCTTTATTGTACAGCAAGATACTTAAACATTTGTATCTTTAAAGATATTTTAATAGCTTTAACCACTTATAAAATAAATATCAATGCCATCGTATAGTTTCGTTAAATTATGTTTTACTGAAATCAATATGACTAAAGCATATATATATATATATATATATACTCAATTCTCATATGAATTGAAGAAGAAATACTGACTTTGTAAACAAAATTGACTATGTCTTCTTTATCATAATGTAACAATGAATAGCTTTTGAAGCGCGAGATAAAAAAGATACTAATAACGAGAAACTTGAACACGAATATCACGATTCTCCACTACAATACATCAAATTTCTCTGCTAAACGTGTATTATCAACAAAGGGACAATATGACATGGAATAACATACGATATCCGAGCTAGACAATCGCGAGCCTAAATTACCATTAAGCATCTCCGTACGATTAGCATCGATATTTCCAACAGATTTATTCATTCCATATTAATATTTTATTCGTGCAGGCCACGTGCAGGCACTTAACACCGGATATATTTTCCTCCTGCCGCCATCTACATTCTGGCCATATGATATTTATGACATGCCATTCTTCGCATTCTTCAATGTTTCTAATTAGTCGCTAACTAACTACTCGACTTAAACAATTGACTGTATGTTCCTTATCTTATACTTTAATTGTAATTCGAGATCATCCATGAATATTTCGTGGCTTTTATTATTGACGGAGCCGAAGCTAATGGCATATTAGGAATGCGGGAACGTGTCTTTATTTTGTTTACAACATAAAAGTTTCTTTATACGTGAAGTTTACTCAGGTCATCTAAGAAGGATTTTGGTGTGATTATATGCGATGATCCTGAAGTAAAATGATAATTCAGTGTTGAAACAAGTTCAATTAGGCGAAAATTTTTAATATATACTTACCAATAATCACTTCCCAATTTTTTAAAGCATTTGTAACTTCGTAACCGCATCGTATTTCAGAAAAACAAACACCACCGACAACGAAAACGATTAATCGTGGTACGTTCTTAATGGTTTGCGAACCTTTGTCTTTGTGCCAATGCCCATATCTTGCGCTAAAAGTAAATTACAATGATGTTACAAAAATATTAGCACCTAATATTATTTCCATACAGGCTCTTACTATACCTAGTTGGAGCATGATATCCCGAGCTTGCTGCTCGTCCAGCCAAAAAAGGGAAATGTTTAGAATCGAGTTTATCTTCGATAGCATCTTCCATAATATCCTTCATAACTGGAGTCCAACGACTCATTTGATAAGTATGTTCTGTAATTCTTTCTTTACGTTGTACGGTATACAATTTTCTGCGGTTTCCACCCTATAAGTGTAATATGATAAATTGGTATTAATTTAACAACAAGCACGTAAAAGTATATATATTTGGAGAATGAATATATAATCTGTTAATAATTGACAAAATAAAATACTTACATCTACAACTATATTGATACCAAGATTTGCCATGTTTACTATAGTTTGTTTATCGTCAGCAGATATTTGAGCATGATGAACTAGGCGGTTCAGATTCTCTTCAGAAATACCATTTTTACTAATAACATATAGTGCGATAATTCGTAATTTGTCTAAATGATGTACTGTTTGGTCAAGTAAAATCGGGGTAATATTTTTCATTTGATCTTTAATACGTTCTCCCTCGGCATCTGTACCCATTGCTAAATCCTAATAAAGCATGATATATATCGTACTTGTTGAATAAGTTAACATGAAAATTAAAAAAAAAAAGAGCGGATTATATGTGATATATACTTGTTCTACTTTGCACAGTTTATCTACATTCCCTTGATAACGTTTCATACAATCTTCTGCTAGTTGCAAGTGTGTTGCATATTTGCTCAATTCCTTTTGGTACTGTGGCATTCTTTTGATCATTTGTGAAAGGTCTCTCATGCTCTGTTTGTCTCCTTGTGGCATTCTTTTTGATTCTGTGAATTTCTTTAAATTTTTAGTAACATTCCTAGAAACAAATTGCATGTTTTGTAAATGATATCGCACCGTTTCCTTTAATAAATTTGTTCGTTATTTTACTTACTGTGAAACTACAGCAATATGTTGATGTCTAAGCTCTACCCATAAATCGTCATTTTCATCCAATAATACTTCCTTTTGTACCCCCGCTGAAGCTTCGAATCTTATAAAAAATTTCATATATTGAAACATCAATCGAAATTAATGATAATAAATATTACATTTACCTGTAGACATCATTATCAATATCTAACAAATCGTACGCCATAGCTTGCAGCGTTAACTCATGTAACAGTGGAGAGACACAGTCAAATCCTCTATCTAGGATAAGCAATTGGGAGCGTGCTTTCTCAGGTCCTTCGCCCATCGTCGGTTCATCCGCTTTGTAAGCATCCAATTTCTGTTGAACCATATGTGCCAGTTCAACATTTCGATCGAAATCGCTGTAGGAATAACGAATATTTAAAATAATGCAGAACCAACGAAGAACTAATCTAACACTTGATCGAATTCTAAACTCAAGCTGAACTAAAAATATTTGAATCATTACGGCAATGCAAAAGAAGAGGAATATATATTATATCGTACCTTCGATATCTAACCGATGGATATTCTCCGAGAGTAGCACAAAGCGTCGCGATCTGTTCAGCTATTCTTTCCATATTGGCTGTTCTCAAGTTGGAGAAGGAAGCGTTATAAAAACAAGCGAACGTTTCACGCGAGTCCAAAGAGAAAACCTATTTAATTACGTACTCGTTTTAATATTATCTGTGCATTGGTTGTTACATATTAAGTTATTATTTTATTTCAATTTTCGAAGGCAGTGTAATACATATACACAGACATATATATATATATATATTGAGGAAGAAAAGTAGTTAATAAAATAACAATAAATAACAGGACTGGTAATTGCATGCATTGAAAAGAAAAAGAAAAGTTTGATCGCGAAAGGAAAGACAGGAACATACACGTAAGGTAATTATAGAAGTCTTTCGCCTACATTCTACCCCGTAAAATAAAGAACTGAAGCATATATAGGAGTTCTGTTTATCGAAACTGAGAAAATTAGAAATAGTAACTATCACGATTACAACTATTACTAGTCAGCTACGAGTTTTTTTCATTTGTTCGTCACCTGCGACTCGTAAGGCAGGAAAGCGATGTTGATCTCTTTCAGGGTTTTGATCTTTTTAGCGGCGAGAGACTTGCAGAGTTCATTGAACAGCTCCTCCGGACACACTGCTCGCGTGCAAGCATGAATGCATTCCGTCGTTAGTACGTGCTTTATATGTATGTGAGTACTGTACAAAATAGGCGAGTAAGGGATAAAGGTCAAATAATTGTGTTAACATTGTCATAATCACTGATCGAAAAATCGGAAGATAGGCTGTGAGTCAAAATATCATATGGCTGTGAATAGGGTGGCGTCTGTAAAGGGCGTTGATATGATATGTGTTTGTTTGTGTATATGTTGGTAAATGTGTGCCCATCACCACGGAAAACGTAAAGTTATCAAACATTCGGTTTCTCTGTTACAGTTTCCTTGCTTTACCTGCTCCTCGTACGGTATGAAAGCGATGTTGATCTCTTTTAGTGTCTTTATGCGTTTAGCTACCAGGGAGAGACACAATTCTTTGAACAACTCATCGGGACATGCTGTAAAGAGATATACTTAGAATCTTATGTGGATTACCGAAATCGAATGTACCGGACTGTCCATTCTCGTACAATTTCTTTTTCAATTTCCTGTTTATTAAACGTGTATCTTGTGAAAGAAACATAAAATCGAAAATGAACTTTCATGTGTACGCGAGAAATAAAAAGAACGTGTTCAGAAAATATTAAGGTGACCAAGATAGGAATGAAATTATCTTGATTATTTATAGTCGTTTCTCTTATGACAATGTTTGCCATGTAATTAATGTGGGAAGTGCGAAACTGCGTACCTTCCGTGAAATAAACGTGAGCTACTTTGTAAGTAGTTCTAGTGGGATTGCTGAAGTCTTCGATCAACTTTTGGACAGACGAATTGCATGGTGTGATCAAGTAGATCGCCTCCATGGTAGGTAACGGTTCCCGTTTTTTGTTGATATCTTCTACCAAGGTGATGCCTTGAGCACTGATATCGTGCATTTTACAGCACGCTGATACCATCCTCATGGCCAGTTGATCAACTACCAAAATACGCCATTGTACCCCACTTGTTCCAGTCTTCTTTTGTTTAATCACTTCGTTCATAATCTCTGTAAGAAAAAATAATATGATAAGAAAGAATCAGAATAATACATATATATCGCTAAATACAAAAAACATATTTTTAATAGCCTGAAGATCATTTAATTTATTATGCATCTATATCTATTATGCATCGGTATGCATTAAAACATCGCTCATCATACTTTGATATATCTAATGAAAAATGCAATGAAAATATTCTAATGACACAAATTAACAATAAAAATGGTAACACGCGTGTAAGACATATTTGTCAAAATAGTAATAATCTGAGTGTAGGTAATTATTTGACAATTATTGGTGCTCTCAACGTGTATTGATCGTTCTCACGGACGATGACGTCACGCTATACAGGATTGTATCTAAAGAACAAGGAGCCCCATTTCGAATAATACGTAGTAAGTAAAAAATGGATAGAAAGGAAAGGGTATACATTGATGATTATTTCAGAAGAAAAGTCCTTCGTTAATTGGACATTACGAGCGTTTGGATTTCATCGTATCATCGAAATTGGTTTACTAATTAGATTATTCAATATAGACTTGTATCGATAATAGACTCGACAATTCCGCGATGCATAGTAATTGTTGGTACTGTTTAATGAGAGATATTGCGACGTTTAATTATAGAAAATAAATATTATCTTAGTAATAGCAGTGAAACGATCGAAAGGCACGTTACGTTGGAGCTCTTTTAGAAAACAAATAAATAGTATCAAATTTACGAAACGTTTATGAAACGTTTTAAAATAGTTCAGTTTACTGAATTTAAAAATGATTTTAATAAGCTGCATGGATATATAATTACCATATTTGTAAGTTGTTATGTATTTAGGTAGAAATAATAAGAGTCCAAGCATAAATGTTTACGAATAATATATATATCTTAAAGGGAAACACGTTTTGCCAAAAATAAAAATGATTGACTATAGATTTTATGACATTAAAGTATAATATTTATTGAGATAGAATATGAATAAAGTAAACTTTTAGAATCAATAGATTAAGAGATTGGTAAGTATGCGTGTTAATAATCTACGTTATTTTGCGCAATAAAGTTTCTATTTTATATGAAATTTGAGTGCAACGCGATTCTGAAACATAAGTTTGACATTTTTATCTAGCAGCCGCTTCATAAACGATGAAATCATCACAGCATATACGCCCTTTTGGAGGTTACGGATTCTGACAGTGATGGAAATGATATGACCTTTATGTAAAATAAATTT